TCTATGTGCGGAACAACCTGACTCTGCTAGAAGAGGTGAGGATGGTGGGGGACGGAGGAACCGGGTTGCTCCACGTGACTGGGAGCCGAGGGGCGGAGATGCTACTGATGGTGAATGTGACTGAGGAGCATGTGCTTGTAAAGGAGCGTCGGGGTAGGAGGCTGGTGGGGGCGGCAGGGGGGGCTTATGCGAGGTTCTATGTGACTGAAGTGGAGAGTAGTGTAGGGAGGGTGAAGTGGCCGGTTGTGGCCGAGCGGAGGTTTAAGCTGGTCAACCGGGGTAGTTTACCCTTGAAAATTGCGAGCATGAGCCTGCATGCGAGCAGGAGCAAGGTCGTGTGTTCCCTTCGCGGGTTCTCGATTCATCCATGCGAACCGTTCTCCATCGCTCCCGGCCAATCCACACCCCTTCTCCTCTCTTTCACACCTGATCTCACATCCACGGTCGTCCGAGCCGTCCTCCATATAGAGTCATCCGCTGGACCGTACGAGCTGCCGATCCGAGGGTACATTCCGCGGAATCTCGCTATGGTTGCGATAGAAGCGGAGCCGAGGCACCCCCTGGATTCAGTGATGAAAGCCGTAGTGGCGTCGATGCTAGTGGCCATGTTTGGGCTGCTGGTGCGAGCCACGGTGTCACAGCTAACGCTGTTCCCCTCCCCGTGGTTCCCTGGGTTCTCTGCTGCTGCTGCGGCTGCGCTGACTAGGAGGCTACAGAAGAAGCAGAACGCGCTTTTGCTGGCGAATCAGCTCCATAGCTCTGCTGCTGCTGCTGCTGCTGCCGCTGCAGGGGGAGAAGGGGGAGGGGCGCCAGGCGGAGGGGGAGCGGCAGGGGGAGGGGGAGGTGTGGGATTGGTTGCAGGAATAGGAGTTGGGGGAGTGGGAGGCGGAGGCTTTGCAGCAGATGCGGAGACGAGAGCGCGGGTGGTCAGGGTTCGAGTCTCGGTGGCACCAATTAGTGCGGGGAGAGGGCAGGGAGGAGAAGGGGGTGGAGGAGGGGTGAGTGGTGTTGTGGGGATGTCTAACGTGAGGGGCCAGGACGGTTCCATGGGGGATTCTGGGCCTTCGTGGGTGGTAACCCGAGTGGAGAAGGTTACAGATGGGGCTGATGGGGGGGATGATGGTGTTTCTGATGCGGAGATTGGGCTTGGGTTGGAAAGGGTCCTCGCAGTGCGGAAGCAGCACTTTGAGCAGCAGCAGCAGCAGCAGCAGCAGCATGTGAGTCTATCTGGTCAACAGGCGTCAAGGGCTGTCCTGAATGTTCCCCAGGCGATTGAGCATGGGAAGAAGCACGCAGGCCAGAAGCCTGAGTCAGCAGCAGCAGCAGCTCATGCGGCGCCTCAGAAACAGCAGGAGCAGCTGGAGCAGCTGGGTCTTGATCGTAAGAGCGAGATTCCGTTAGCAACAGCAGCAGCAACAGTAGCAGCAGCAGCAGGAAGTAAAGCAGCAGCAGCAGCAGCAGCTGCAGCAGGTAAAGCAGCAGGGAAGAGCGCAGAAGCAGCAGCAGCAGGGGCTTCTGCTCCTGCTGTTGCGGGCACGGCGGGAGGAGGAGCATCTGGATCAGGGTCACCTGTTTTGGCTCCACTGTTTGTCAAATCCGCCTCTGTCCCGTCGGGCAGGGATAAGAGCAGCCAAAGAGAGGCTGCTGCTGCTGCTGCTGCTGCTGCTGCTGCTGCCACTGCTGCTGGCACTGGTGGTGTTACTGCTGCTGCAGCTGGTTGTGCTGGTGGTGGTGCTGTGGCTAGTGTTCAGTCTGCTGCTGCTGTGATGGAGGGAGGCGGTGGAAGTGAGGTGGCTGGGAAGGGGAAAGGTGGGTGGATTCCTGGTGCGTGTAGTAAGGCGGGTGGTGGTAAAGGGGGGAAGGAGGGAGGTTGCAAGGGGGAGGAGAGGAAGCAGCGTGGGAAGAAGGGTAAGGAGGACAAGTTGAGAGAGAGGGAGATGGAGAAGGAAAGGGAGATGGGGAGGGAGAGGGAGAAGGAGAAGGTGAAGGAGAAGGAGAAGGAGAAGGAGAAGGAGAAGGTGGAGAAAAAGGAGGCGGAATTGGAGGCTGAGCGTGAGAGGGAGTCAGTTAAGGCGAAGGTGAAAGAGAAGGAACAGGAAAGACGGGAGAGGGAACTTGAGTCGGAGAAAGAAAAGAAGAGGCAGAAGGAGGAGAAGGAGGAGGGGAAGAAGTTCAGACAGAAGGAGAAGGAGAAGTCTGCTGAGACTGATGAAGGGAGAGAGAAGGCAAAGGAGAAGGGCTCGAAGGAGAGTGGCAGTTCAGAGAAGAAACTTGAGGAGAAGGGCGGGGATCCCAAGGAGGAGAAGAAGCCGGGAGGTGATGGTGTGGGGAAGGTGGGTGAGAAACCTGCCAGTGCTGGTGGTAGCGACCAGAAAAAATCAAAGCAAGGCAGCTATGAGAAGCAAGGAGGGGTCGAAAAGCAGGGAGGGGTTGAGAAGCAGGGTGAGACGGGAAAGAAGAAGAAAAGGCTTTCTGGTGCACGTGAGCCTGCTACTGCAGCGCCTGCTGCCAGTGCTGCTTCTGCTGGTGGTGCTTCTACTGCTGGCGCTGCTGGGGCTGGTGCTGGTGCTGCTTCCTCTGCTCCTGTTGTTGCAGGAGACCAGCCTGATGGGGCCAAAGGGAAGGAGGGCACAGATTCTGGTATGTCTGCTGGCCATGAGGATGCAATCAGGAGTGGAGGGAAGCAGGCAGCGGAAGGGAAGAGCAGGAAGGAGGGGAAGGAGGGGAAGGAGAGAGGCAAGGATCAGCCGAAGCTGACCCCTGCATCAGCCATAGCCGTATCTGGCTCTCCTGTTGTTCGCTCTCCTGTTGGCTCCCCTGTAGAAAGCCCAACAAAGGAGGGTGGTGGGGGGAAGAAGCAGGGTTCTGGGGAAAAGGAAAGGGAAGGGGGTGGAGGGAAGGGGAAAGACGGCAGTGGAGGAGGGAAGGGGAGGGATGCCGCAGGAGTCAGGGGGTCTGCTGTGGCCTCCCCCCCTCGTGCTCCCAGACAGCCGTCACCAGCACCATCAGCTGGCCAAAGCACCGTCAGCAACGGTGTATCGTCTGCTGGTGCTACTTCTGCTGCGAGTGGTGGTGTCTCAGCTAACGATCTCGCTCTGGCTGGTGCGAAGCCAGTAGCGATAGGAAAGCGGGCCCTGTTGCTGCAGCAGCAGAAGGAGCAGCAGGCAATGCAGCAGAAGCTGCAGCAGCAGCAGAAGCTTGGTTCAGATGCTAAGGCCGGTCGTGGGTCTGTGCTACCAGCAGCAGGAGCATCTGGGCTGAAGGCTGGCACAGAGAAAGCAGGTTTGGCTGTTGGAAGGGGCAAAGCAGCTGCTCCAGCCAGCTCAGCGGGTTTACCCTCTGGCAGACAAGTTGCTCGATCCGTCTCCCGCTCCCCACCACCACCACTGGACCCGTTTGTCTCCCCTGTAGAATCAGCACCGAAACCACCACCACCACCAGCACCACAGCCAACATCAGTTGGCGAAGCTGTTCCTCACAACTGGCACGTGCCAATATCCGCGTCCTTCTCCTCGCCGCTGCCTGCGGGAGTAGGGGGAACACCAGGAGGAGGGGCAGGAGGAGCTGGCCGGACCGCATCCATTCCCAAGACACCCTCCTTCGTCAACACATGCTCAGACCCAATTCTGGTGCATCGGCGCCACCCTTCTTCCTCCACTCCTGTTGCCATCGGCAGCACCAGCAGCACCAGCAGTGGCGGTGGTGCTGCTGGTGCTGATTCTTGGAAGGTTCCGGGGTCGCAGAGCCCTGGTGGTCGAGTTGGGAGCTATCTCAATGGGGGCAGTAGCAGTGGGGGAAGCGGCGGGAGCAGGGGGGAGCTGGCAGCTACTGCTGATCTGGCGATACGTGCGGTTACCAGGAGTGGTAGCAGAGAGGATGGGCCATCTGGAGTGGGGGCCTTTGGTGGGTTGATGACTGGTGGTGGTGGCGGTGTTGCTGCTGTTGCTCCTGCTGCTGCTGATGGGGCTACAGGGGCGGGTGCAGCTTTAGGAGGCCGGGGGGGATTCTTGGAAGGTGGTTCTGGTGGTGGGATGGCAGGTCCAGGTGATGACGAAACAGCAGTGTACGACTTATGGGGGAACCATTTTGATCACCTGGCATCTCTCGGCTCATCACCGCATCCCTCCGGGATGTCCCACCCATCGAGCCTCTTCTTTTCGGACCGAGGCTTTCTGACGGGCTCCCCTCCGCCCACTGCTTCCTCTGTCTCGCACTCTGGCTTTCTCGGACCATCCTTTCACCAGACCTCTCCCTCCTCTCCTCGCTCCCCACGTGTTATTGCACCCCCTAGAGCACGGGATGCGGTGTCACCCCCACGAGACCAGTACCTCTTCTCTTCTGGTATCTCTGGTACTCCTGGGACTGACTGTCTTCCCCGTCGCCCCTCCACCGAGCTATTCTCATCTCCTTTCGGCGGCTTTGCCCTCTTCCCCGCAACTCCACTCTCTGCTGCTTCCCCTGGAGATGCGGTACTAGGCCCACCTTCCAGGTCTGCCTCTCCCGCCCCATTTGGATACCCCGACAGAGGGGGTGGATTGGGAGCAGGAGGAGCAGGAGGCGTGGGCCCGGGAAGTGAAGTTGCAGGGACTGGTGGAGGGCTGTTTGGACAGGCGCCAGGGGATCCATGCCTGCAGGGTCCTGTGAGCTCCCCGTTTGGATTCGGTGTTTCAGGAATCGACATGGAAGGCTATTTGAATGGTGGAGGTGCTACGGATGCTGGCAGCCCTGCGTTTATGAGGACTTCAGATGTGGAGTCGTTCTGGTCGCATGGGGCCCCGGAGCAAGCCTTACATGCCCACCTTGCTCCTAGAGAAGAGGGTGATGACACAAGCTAACAGCCATGAAGACGTGATGGTACGATACAGCTTCGGAGATGTACAATGTATACAGCCATGAAGATGTCATGCGAAACATACATCGTGTCCTGTGAGGTGCTGGTAAGTCCAATTGCATGGTAAATGTACAGCAGATGCAACCAAAGCGCAAATTTGTTTTTTGTTCAAATGCTACCATACAAATGGAGTTTTGCGGGGGACAAAAATTGTACCTGCAGTGTACACAGGAGTGGTCAGGTGGAGGAGGAGCTTGCGATAACCAACTGGATGGATGTTTCAAACGCATGGACAGGAGTCAGGACTTAGGACCACCCTGCTTGAGACAGTTGTAGGTACTAGAACATTGTGGGGTGCTACTCAGCTCACACTGTTGCACAGAATGGCCAACCACGTTGTGAACATGGTGTGTGCTGACTGCTGATTGCAGCATTATTTGGCTCAGCTGATATCAAGGTGCAACAGCAGCCTTGCAGGGCGACCCAAGGATCTGGCAACGTTAGCCTTCTCTTCCTGCTCCAGTTCATAACCAGACTTGAGATACAACAGTCGAGCAGGGTCGTTGTTCTTAACTACATGAACATAGAGATGCTCCACACCTGCAGCACAGACAGCAGCATGCTCTGTAAGGCCTCTGAGAAAGGCTCAACTACAGAAGCAGAGAGGCGGTTGGAAAGATAGCATTGACTCACCCCAACTCTGTGCAAGATCTTTAGCTGATTGCATCAATCTGTAGGCAACTCCAAGTCTTCTGGCAGCCGGCGCCACACAAACATTGGATAAATAGGCTCTTCTTGACTCAATGCGCAACCCCTGAACACAAAGAATCCGTCAGTCACTTCACCTGTTGAATGACGCGTCCCTAAAGGTCTGTCTGGACCCACCAGAATCTGATAAATGAGCACCTTACTGGGATACTGTCCACAAAGGTTTTCACCAGGTAAGCGAAGCCCTAGATTCAGGTCCAGAGTTCCAACAACCCATCCTTGAGCGACTTGCAGTGACGAACTCTGATAGGAAAATTAACAAAAATGCGGACAATTAGTCATTAGAATGGAAGCGGGATTCAAATAGAGAAGCAACGACTTTACCGGCTCTTCACGAGGTGGTAAGATGGCTCCGCTGGGGTCAGGTACCGTCGCTAATAAACAGGACACCTTCTTGAATCCGGGAAGGAGTCCAGCAACCTTGTCTTCTAGACATTGTGCCTCCTCCATTGCTTTCATGAACAAATGTCGCTGCAAAAAACGCTATACCCTCCGTTAATTGCCGCTGTGCGAGCTCACGGAAACGAAAGCGAAGGTGGAGGAGGAATGACTGTGGAAGCCACAGGAAAATTCTGTACCTCTACGAATTCTGATGAGCGGTCAGGAGGACAGCTGAAGAAGCAAAACGACCGTAAAGACGCAGCAGCTCTTAGTTCTGTCGGGGATAAAGCCTCCCCCACTCGTACAGTGCAGGGAGACGAGGCAAGCTCGGCTCTGCTCCATGAACTAGAGCGTGGAGAGTGGACGTGGAGAGCGTTCGACAATCTTATTTTCTTAGGGCATGAGAGTCTCAATTCGGTCCTGGTAGCTTCTACGTTGGTCAAGCGAAAGATAGCGGGACCAAACTGGCAAACTACACACGCCATGTTGGTCCTGAATTCGCATGTGATGTTACAGCAACTAGAAAACCGTAAGGCTGGGAGGACTCTGAAATGTGCCAACTGATCACTGTGATGGCAGCATCCACCTTCCCTCCTTTCTGAGGCTTGAGGGGGATCACGTGGAAGTGGAAGATGTGTGACATGCGACATGTGAAATATGTGAAATCAGTTTCACTAACTGTCGAAAGTGTCGAAAGGTTACACAGCGCAAAATCGAGACAGCTCATATGATAGCTCAGTTTTGCGTAACTTGAGGACACTCTCCAAGGAGGGGCTTGTGTTCGCGACTATCAGGAGCCGTCCGTTCGTAAGTTGAGATGCAGATGTGTAACACGTGGGAAACGTCAGAATTCAAAGATTCTGGGGACCACCACACGCTGACATCCGATAGCCGCCGTTTCCGCTTGGGACCCTGAACCCTACTCCACGTCATCCTGCGCGAACCTCCACCACACTGGGACACTTGGTGGCAGGCAGCCTAGATGCTTGCTTTCCACGAGTCGTGTCGCGCGGAGAAGTGGGGATTGTGCGGGCAACAGAAATTGTGAGTACCGTACACTGCACACCTTTTGCCTGCTGACATGGAAACAGCTGACTAGCTCAGGCATGGAAACTGGGCTCTGGGGCAGCGACAAAATCAAGAATACAGTTGTCAGCTCTTTTTCTCGTGGTTGGGTTGGGAGGAAGGTGGATGGTTGAAGCCAACAACCACCGACCTGCTGCAATACCTTTTTCCCTGAGCATATTAGTCCATCGCACTCGAGACGCGGAAGGGACTTGCTTTTGGTAGCAACCAATCCTTCCCGGTAATCAGGCTGCTGCCTCGCCGATCAACCAATATCGGCATGGTGTCGCACGTCAAGGTGATCTGACAGCCTTGTGGGGTCAAATATGGCTCTCGCTGGGCGAAGATTAGCACAGGCGGCAGGATCAGTCATAGGATCTCAAGCAGCTGTGTTTTGGAGGCAGTTTTCTAACCTGTCACGCGAAGTCGCACCAGCTGCGAGGCGGCTAGCTGCTGAACCTCAACATGCATTGAATGGCGCCGACGGGAGAATACAATGGGTCTTTCTGGGGTCACCAGGAGCGGGAAAAGGTACATACGCGAGCAGACTTAGCAAGTACCTAAATATCGCTCACATCTCCACAGGCGATCTGGTTCGTGAGGAGCTGAAGAACGGATCGCCGATCGCAATCAAGGCAAGCACGGAAACTTAAGAGAAGTTGTCGCCAAGTCATGTTATCGTCCAGCGTTTTGACGGAAGGGTTCGTGGATCGTGGCGGTCATCATGGCAGGTGCAAGAAGTCATGAATCGCGGTCAGCTTCTTTCGGATGAGATTATTTTCGATCTTCTATCAAGACGTCTGGAACAGGGCCTCGTTACAGGCGAAGGTGGCTTCATTCTGGATGGCTTTCCTCGCACAGCTGTGCAAGCAGTAAGTTTCACATGAATTCATTGCACCATTCCTGCCGTTAGAGGCTCATGTCCTGACGTCGTTCTCCTTTTATTTGCTTGCAGGGAGTCCTGGAATCTATGACACATATTGACTTGGCAGTGAACCTAACCCTTCGGGAGGAAGTGCTGGTTCAGAAGATGCTGGGCCGTAGATTATGTTCAGAGTGTGGGGGTAACTACAATGTGGCTAACATTGACATTGCTGCAAAAGATGGAAAGCCAGCCATTTTCATGCCTCCGTTGCCCGCCCCAGCGGGTTGTGAAGGCAAGCTTGTCCAGAGGGCGGATGACACAGAAGAAACAGTGGTTGCTCGTCTCAAAGTTTATGAAGAACAGGTGAGGTGCCTTCGGGCGTTTCGTCCTACTCCTTGTGTCTTCCTGTCCTCCGTTTTGATACTGATGCTAGTTTTCTGCCGTTTGGAATGGCCCTTCGTGCAGAGCAAGCCTGTGGAGGACTTCTATAGTGAACGAGGTCGCTTGCTGGAGTTTGAAATAACCGGAGGGATCCCAGAGACATGGCCACGCTTGTTAGAATCTCTAGGAATTGAAAGCCAGTGTGAGGCACTGGCTAGTGGTTCTAATTAGTGAGATTAGTTGTAGCCTGAAGGGTAGCAAGCTAGTAAGGCAGCAGGACGAAGTGCCTAGGGCTGTCTTGATTTGTCCATTCATAAAATCCTTCGTGCATGGCTGTCGGGGCTGACTACATGAAGAGAGAGGACAGCACAACAAGCCAAAAGCAACACATTGTTTCATTCTAAACGACGAGGGTATTTCATAAGCTTGAGGAGGTTTGCTGAAATGAAGGGTAACACAACTTGGGTGTGTATGTTCAAAATGTTAGCAGCTTCAAAGCTGCAAAACGTCATGGTATCAAATGGTGTGGCGTCATATGAAGGTCATGTAATATTTTTTTTAGAGGAGTTCTGGGGCTATGCAGGTACTGAAGTGTAGTTATGTAAATATGGCATTTTAATCCGTATCCTCCCTTGTTGAAATGCAAAGCCCCAGAAGTTCGACCATTCACGCAGCACGCGGCTCCGCTCAAAGGTGCCAGGCAGAGGTGATAAACGTGAGGCTGTCAGGATGAAGTCAGTCAGCAGGTGGCGATTTGCCGCTTTGCCATATGGGCAATTCGAATCTTCTTTCTTTCGCACGCCCTTCGCAAGCCGGCTCACGAAAATCTGCGAGCATCGAGAGCATCGCCAAAAGCAGACACCCAGCCAGCACATGTCGCAGCAAAAGGTGCGCTAGGACGCTATGTGGCGATTTTTTTGTCGCACGATATTTGCGAGGCAGATTCGCGAGCCAACGAACTCCAAGAGCGTCGCAGCTCCAGCAACCAGCAGCCGCACAAGGTCGTAGAAGCAGTGTTTGGTTCCTGCGACTCCGTCGCATCCCCTACGCTTTCTAGCATGTTCCATCAGTTCCCTCCATTTCTCAAATTCTCACCCAGGGACGCTGTGGATCTGGATTCTGGCAGTTTGTTTGCTCCAGCAAGTTAGGCAAGGCAACCATCCATCAGCTTCTCCCTTACAACAACCGCATGAGCTTTGTCATCACAGTACAGTACTTAGTTCTTCAGATCGCAGTTTCTGTTGTGTGTTTCCGTGCTCACGTGCTAGGGAAGCAGTAGCTCTAGTTTCCAGTACAGTGCGTGGAGGATAGAAGGTAGTCGTTAGCGGGGTAGACTTCATTCGTGTAGTTGTCAGGTCCTTTTTGCAGATCTCTGATCATTCCTGATCTCTGGTAGTGCTGCAGCATTCAGTTGGTGTGTCTTAGAGTACAAGATGGATATCACACAGGTTCTTCTGAATGCTCAGTCGCCTGATGGAAATGTCCGGAGGCTGGCCGAGGAGAACCTAAAGCAGCTTCAGGATACAAACTTTCCGGCATACCTAGTTTCCTTGGCCCTGGAGCTTGCAAATCCGGAGAAGCAGACAGATTCTCGGCGACTTGCCGGTCTCATCTTGAAGAACTCTCTCGATGCGAAGGAGTCTGTTCGGAAGACCGAGTTTATCCAGCGATGGATTGCTCTAGATGCAGCTATCAAGGGACAGATTAAGGCCGCTCTGCTTGCTACCCTTGGATCTCCAGTCCAAGATGCTCGCCATACATCTGCTCAAGTCATTGCGAAGATCGCTGCGATCGAGCTTCCACGAAATGAGTGGCCTGAACTTGTCGTTGGTCTACTCGGCAACATGGGATCGCCAGCTCAGCCGCAGCCGGATCAGCTCAAGGAGAGCACCCTTGAAGCCTTGGGATTTGTTTGCGAGGAGATCGCCGGGACTGACTCTCTGGCGCAGGAGCAGGTCAACAGTGTGTTGACTGCTGTCGTTCAAGGGATGAACAAGACTGAGCCGAACAACGACATCCGACTCGCTGCTACGAGAGCGCTCTCCAACGCTCTGGAATTCGCCCAGACGAACTTCGAGAATGAGGTGGAGCGGAACTACATTATGACCGTCATCTGTGAAGCGTCGCTGTGTCCAGACGTGAGGGTCCGGCAAGCTGCATTTGAGTGCTTGGTGGCCATCTCGTCGACGTACTACTCGAAGCTCGCTCCCTACATGAACGACATTTTCCAGATCACAGCCAAGGCGACGAGAGAAGATCAAGAGCCCGTTGCTCTTCAGGCGGTCGAGTTGTGGTCGTCCATCTGTGACGAGGAGATCGAGCTCCAGGAAGAGTATACGGCCGATTCAGAGGTTACGAATTTCAACTTTATTAAGCAAGCTCTTCCAGCTCTTGTTCCTATGCTGCTGGAGACGCTCACGAAGCAGGAGGAGGGTCAAGATTCGGATGAGACGGCGTGGAATCTGGCCATGGCTGGCGGTACCTGCTTGGGTCTGGTCGCTAGAACGGTGGGGAACGACATCGTTCCGCTAGTCATGCCGTACGTCCAGGAGAACATCAGCAAGCCGGAGTGGAGGAACAGGGAAGCTGCGACGTACGCGTTCGGATCTATCCTCGAGGGTCCTGACACGGAACAGCTGGTACCGCTGGTGAACAGCGCGCTGGGCTTCATGCTGAATGCGATGAAGGACGAGAACGCGCATGTGAAAGATACCACGGCGTGGACTCTCGGTCGCATCTTCGAGATCGTGCACGGATCTTCACCGGAGAATCCGATCATCAACGCCACGAATCTTCCGGCCATCCTGGCGGTACTGATCGAGAGCCTCAAGGACGTCCCGAACGTGGCGGAGAAGGTCTGCGGAGCGATCTACTTCCTCGCGCAAGGGTCAGAAGGCAGCGAAGGGGCTCTGTCCCTGACCCCGTACTTTCAACCGCTTATCACGGCGTTGCTGGCGACGGCTGACAGGGAAGACGCGTCGGACTCGAGGCTGAGATCGTCGGCGTATGAGACGCTGAACGAGATCGTGCGGTGCTCGGGGGATGACACGGCGGCGACGACGGCGCAGCTGACGCCGGTGATCATGGAGAAGCTAGCGCGAACCATGGACATGCAGATCATCTCGACCGACGACCGGGAGAAGCAGAGCGAGCTGCAGGCGTTGCTCTGCGGCGTGCTCCAGGTAATACCATCCTTCCCTCGTTTTCTTATGTGCGTTTCTAGTTTCGAATTTCAATAAGCTTGCGAATAAAGCGTTTATTTTTCCTGGTGTCGCGTTTTGTTGGGTTGGCATTTTGGATTCGAGGTGGCAGGCTCCACTGTAATGGTAGGTTATGGTGGAGTGTTCAGTCAGTTCGGGGTGTTAAATTCCGGATGGGGTATGGTCTTGAATTGCGTTATCGTAGAATGGTCCCAGTGCGAGAATTCAAACCATTTATGTTTATTGCTCCGTTTGCCGACTTGCGTTTGTTTTTACAACAGGTGATTATTCAGAAGCTGGGAGCCAACGACGCGACCAAGGCGGGGGTGACGCAGTACGCGGACCAGATGATGGCCCTCTTTCTCAGAGTCTTCGCCTGCCGCAACGCCACAGTGCACGAAGAAGCCATGCTCGCCATTGGCGCGCTTGCGTATTCTTCAGGTATGCACTCGTGCAGGTTTCGTTCGCCAGTACTTCGATTTCATGCTGTTTGAACAGAACTAGACTCACTGACAGGGAAGAGGTTAGTTCTGTTGAAGGGATGGTGATGCCGTTTTCTCTTCCCATGGTTGCAGGCCCTGATTTCGGCAAGTACATGCCCGAGTTCTACCGCTACCTGGAGATGGGACTGCAGAACTTTGAGGAATACCAGGTGTGCGCCGTAACAGTAGGCGTCGTGGGCGACATCTGCAGAGCGCTGGACGAAGCCGTGTTACCCTACTGCGACGGCGTCATGACTCAGCTCCTCAAGGACCTCTCCTCGGACCAGCTCCACCGTAGCGTGAAGCCGCCGATCTTCTCCTGCTTTGGGGACATAGCGCTGGCGATCGGCGAGCACTTCGCTAAGTACCTGGCGTACGCGATGCCGATGCTGCAGAGCGCGGCGGAGCTGTCGGCGCAGCAGGGGATGAATGACGTGTGGGACGAGGTGGTGGACTACAACAACCAGCTGCGCGCGGGGATCTTTGAGGCGTACTCGGGCATCTTCCAGGGCTTCAAGGCGACGAAACCGGAGCTCATGGCGCCGTACGCGGAGCACATCCTGCTGTTCATCGAGAATGTGTACCTGGACAAGCAAAGGTGCGAAGCTTAGTGGGGGGGATTGAGCGTGGTACATGTGCTTAAAAAAGCTGGGGTGATGTTTGGGGATGAACGACGTTTGGGACGAGGTGGTGGAGTACAACAACCAGCTGCGCACAGAGTGGGTGATCAAGGGCACGGGATGGCGCATCCTACTGTCAAGTGAGAATGTATACCTGGACAAGGAAAGGTGCGTAGCCTGGGGGGATTGAGAATGGTGTGTGATGTCCAGGGTGGTTGATGACACGCAGTGGACGACACAGAATGGGCTATGTACGGGAAGAAGTGAATGAAATACATGGCAGATTTGGAGCTTGAAACCTTGAAATGTAGATGTATTAGGGCTTGGAGAATGGATGTATGAGGGCCATATCAACGAGGGCTTGGGGTATTGATGTGTGAGGGCTGTATCGGATGTCTAAACTTGTGTCAGGCCTGTTTTTCAACAGTCAAATAGCTGTGAAATTTCACATGAGGGATTCTAGCTGTTGCCAATTCTGTTGAGTGAGGCTGGTGTTTTTTTTTTGGGGGGGGGAGGGGTTGTTTGGGGATGTCCATCAATCACCATAGGTGGCTTGTCGCTGACCAGACTCTGCATTTCCCATCTCCCCCCCACCCGCCCCCCTCCTGGATTGCCACTAATAATGCAGGGACGAGATTGTTACCAAGGCTGCAGTTGGCGTCTTGGGTGACTTGGCTGACACGCTTGGAGTCGCCGCCGCACAGCTATTTGCCACTCACCGCTTCCACCGGGAGTTTATTGAGGAGTGCATGAACTCAGACGAATCCATCAAGGAGACTGCTGAATGGGCGCAGAGCAGGATTGCAGCCATCACAGCGGCTTCGAGCTGATATGGCTGAAGGGTTTGGGGTCTAGGTCATGCAGGTCTGGCGAGCTCTTTCGCTCTTTTTTCTCGGTGGAAGTCATGACAAGTGCACTTACCCGTAGGTTTGTCAAGATTCGTGTTCTTTGCAGGTTGACAGACCCTGCTCTGGTCTAGCCGTCAGTGTTCACTGTCAGTCAGTAGGTTTAGGTATGAAAGAGGTCGGCCACACACACCCAAGGTCTCTATGGAGGACTGATGAAGTCTGTCTCGTCCATGCACGGGGCCCAGCATTTGTTAGGCACGAGGACTACCTGGTCAGTGGTCATGTCTGTCATGTCCATGCACATCATCCATTATTTTTAGGCATAGCCCTGTCGTGGAGCATTTGGTCTAGAGTTGTCATGTCATGTCCATGCACGTCCATGTCCATGACCTGTTAGGTGAAATGTCAACCATAATGTATCATGTCAATTGTCAGAAAGCTGCGTAATAAGCATAAGGTCTGTTTGTGTCATGTATGATTTGAAGTTAATGAGATGCGTGGTACACGAAACAAATTTACTAGGGATAAGGAGGGCATCGTTTTTGTAAAATACGCTTTCGAAACTGTATCAACCTTAGGAGCTGCTACAGGGTTTTAGGCGGCTCAAAGCGTAAACGCGTCGGTCTGTTTACCAGCCTGAGGCTGACCACCGCTACTATCCCCATCGCTTTAGGGTTTCGCCCAACAGTGCCCCCTCTCCGTCCCTCCCTCAGTCCCCCGCTGTTCCCAAGGGATTCCTTTCCACCCAAGCATTTTCCGCGGGCGGGCTCACCAACCTAACTCCTATCTCCCTCCATGGTATCTTGGAACTAATTAGTTGCGTCTCTTCGTCGCTTTAGGGACCTCGTCAGCATACGATGGGCGTTATTTCTTAGCGTTTAGGCGTGACGTAGCGGAGGGAGTTTTTTTCCGCGTTTCACGGCTACTCATATCAATTTGTATTCTTCTCGGCGAAGTAGGCTTGGTGTCCTGCATTTTCCGGAGTGCATGACAGGCTTGGGAGGTCGATAATGGCTGGAGGCGACCCAGAACCCGAGCCTGTTGCGGTAGATACAGCGGAGGAGAAGTTAAAATTGGTTGTCAAACATGGCCAGCAGACGCATCAACTGATGATGTCACCAGGATGCATCGTGAAGGAGTTGATGGAAGTCTTGGAAGGTTTGACAAATGTGCATTCAAGGGGTCAGAAGCTTATTTACAAAGGTGCGTCTTTCGCGTCGCGGTTAGGTTGTTGATGCCGAGGTTTATGAGCGTGAGCGTTTGAAGCAGCCGTGTTTTGCGTTGTTTGCAGGCAAGATTCTGACCTCTGAAATGTCGTCTGAGGAGGTTTATGCGAGAACTGACTGAGCTGTCTGTCGTGTTGTTTGCAGGGAAGATTCTGACCTCTGATATGTCGTTTGAGGAAGCGAAGATCACCAATAATGCGAAGATTATGCTCATGGCGTCGGCTGGAGTACATCAAGGGGTGCGAAATCCACGTGCCATTTGCCCTGTCATCTTTTCGTCTCCTTCCATTTACGAACCATTGCGTCCTTCCGTTCTCGTGCCTCACTACGACTCATATTTTCCGTGTATTCACGGCATGCGTGCATTCTACGGAAGAGCATACGTGGTTGTTACGGTTGTTGAGATAGTCAATTGTGAAATGTGTTACAGGCTGGTGGTAACCACTACACGCTTGGACAATCAGCCAGCCACAGATACGGCAGAGGTCTGCAGCGGTCTGTTGCAGCTCCATCCCCGGTCGCGCTGGGGCAAGAGAAGGCCAGGCAAAGGATGTGGGTGCAGACAGGGATCGTGTCTCTAAGGGACAGCAACTTGCAGGTATGCGCTCAATTTTATGTCGACTCAAAAGTCATCTCTGGTTGTGTTGGGGCAAGAGAGGGCCAGGCAAAGGATGTGGGTGCAGATTGGAATCGTGTCTTCAAGAGACAGCAACTTGCAGGTAAGCGCGTATTCTGATTCGCAAGTTTGTCGTTCTCCGGCCCCTTCTCCCCATCTCTCCCCCTTCCCCCATTCACTCACAGACAGTATAGACGCGCGCACCCGCAGCACCCAAAATGCGCGCACGCGCAAGCGCACACGCACACGCCACGCACACGCACGCGCACGCGCACACACACCCACACACACACACGCACGCACGCGCACACGCACACACCCACACACACACACACGCACGCACGCGCACGCGCACACGCACACGCACGCGCACGCGCACGCGCACGCACACACGCATATGCACGCGCACGCACACGCACACGCACACGCACAGGCACGCAGTCTCTCACAGTTGCACACGCACAGCACACGCACGCGCACGCACACACGCACATGTACGCACACGCACACGCACACGCACACGCACGCACACGCACACGCACGCAGACTCTCACAGTGCCCACGCTCGCGCACACGCACATGCACACGCACGCACACGCACACGCACGCAGACTCTCACAGTTTCACACGCATGCGCACATGCACAGGCACGCGCACGCACACACGCGCATGCACGCAGACTCTCACAGTCGCATCCACGCGCAGTCTTCTCGAACCAATCCGATTCCTCTCTTGCCGGCTCAGGTCGTTCCTCCTGGAGCCATGTGGGTTGTGGGGCCCGCATTACGCGGTTTTTCAGGCGCCTCATTAATTAATCTCTCGTTTCTCTCGCTTGGTTCAGGTTGTCCCTGGAGCCGTGTGGGTTGCGGGTCCTGCATTACGCGTCCTGGATTTGGGCGGCAACAGTCTTCGGATCTTCCCGCCAGCCGTAACGGCTTTGACCAACCTCCAGGTCAGATATTCACTTTTGATGATGTGAGCAATCATAAACTTTCCTTATATTTGTGATCTTCCATTTTTGGTGCTGAGCCATGGTGTAATTGTTGTCCAGCCATCAAATTGTTTAGACGAATATATGTCTGCTCATTGTTTACTGATTGTGTTGTTTTGGTAGTGAAGACTCACTGAAACGGGGATTTCTGGCTGATGGTGATGGTTCGTTGCAGAGGCTACGTCTGAGCCACAACTCGCTGACGGAGAACACCATTGCGTGGGAGGCCTTGACACGGCTACCCAACCTGATGGCTCTGGCCCTCGATCACAATCAGTAAGTGGTCTCCTGTTGAGGGATTTTTTAGCATTCTCAAACACACCATAGCGTGGAAGGCCTTGATATGGCTAATCAACCTGATGGCTCTGGCCCTCGATCACAACCAGTAAGAGTTTTCCTGGTTTTGTGCATCCATGCACCTCACCAAACCGATTTAAGGGTTTCTGTTAGACAAAGACAATGACGGGGCGCGTATCACTTCAATCTTGACGGTGCGCTTCCCCACGTATTTTAGGGTTCGTGGTGACCAACGAGTCTCCTGCCAGCCAGCCAGCTGTCGCTTCAATCTTGATGACGGTGTGCTGCAGAACAAGTTAACTCGAAGCCTCCACTTGGCATTGCCATTTTGAATCTTGACTTGATGTGTTCAAATCAAATGCCTTCGATTCCATTCATTCATCATGATTCATGATTCATGTCACATTCGAATTTCACTCCAAGCCTCCACCACTCGCCACAGTCACCTTGATCCTTGGCTTGATTCTGCAGAATATGGCTGATCCCGTCCAATATCTCGGCCAACTCTTTCACGTTTTACTCGAAAGTTCTGCGTGCCACTGTCTCATTGAATCTCGACTCTCTCTGTGCGTGTTGCAGAATAGGGTTGATTCCATCCATCATCGGCCAACTCTCGTCGCTGAAGCGCCTGGCTCTCAGCCACAACGCCCTCTCCTCTCTGCCGCCAGAGATCGGCCAGCTGAAGAACCTGGAGTGGATCGATGCCGCTCACAACAGGTATGTGTGTGTCAGTCGAAATAACACGCCAGTTACAACGCCCCCCCCCTCGTCTCTGCCTCCAGAGATTGGCCAGCTGAAGAATTTGGAGTGGATCGATGCTGCTCAGAGCAGGTGATGACTCTCATAGGCGTCATTTTGTATGAGGGGGCATCGGTTTAAGAGGCATTTCAGGTGGTGTGGATGTCCTCTTGTCTCTTTTCTAGAGATTGGCCAGCTGAAGAACCTGGAATGGATTGATCTGCTCACAGCAGGTGACAATATCGAGGTGGCATACATTGTCGTGTGACATTGTAACGAGGTGACTTTTGAGTCGACTCAAGAGATTGGGTGACTTTTGAGTCGACTTTTCAGAAATTGGGCAGCTGAAGAACCTGGAAGGGATTGATACTGCTCACAACAGGTGACAGTGTCCAGATGGAATTTAGACATACATTGTCTGTGCAGCCTACTTCTGATGATATTGAAAATGGCATTTCAGGCCACTTTTTCCATGACATTTTTCAGGTGACATATGCTGTGCCTGCATAGTCTTCTCTGTTTATCGCTTCAGGCCTCCGTCAATCTGCTTGCCTCTTCTCAGACCCGCTTCTGACCTTAAGGGCCTCTTTTCCACTCCCATTCGCAGGTTGGGAATCATCCCACCTTCAATGGCGGAGTGTGTCTCCCTTGCAGAGGTACTGTTCAGCCTGTCTGATTTGATCCCTTCAGCTGCTTGTGTCTTTTCCTGTCTTTGTGTGACGTGTTACTTTCATGAGGCTCGCCTTGGTTTCTTATGACAATCATGTTGATTTTCTGCAGGCCAACTTCTCAGCTAACTTCATCTGCCACGTGCCTGCTGCTCTGGGTCGCCTTACCAATTTGAAGGTGAGCTGAGCGACCCAGAGTTCCGTCACTCATGGTTAGGAACAAGGTGCAAAAAAACGATGGTCGTTTTAAACGGGCCGTTTAATACGATCGTTTTATATGGCATTTTTTTTTTTTTTTAGCGCCGTTTTTTTGTTCGAAAACTCCAGTCACAAATTTTACTAATCAGTCTAAAAACCCCATGGCACTATCCCTGAGGCACACTGCTCTGACTACGACAACAGATTCGCCATAAAAGAGGTGAGTAGAGCTCCCTACCCCTATCGCGCTGCCCCTTCCGTCCCCCCACTACTATTCCCAATCCTCCTCCACTTTCCCCGTGAGCTAAGCTCCCTACCCCTACCTTCCTCCGGCCCCTAACCCCCCCCTTACTACTTCTACTCATCCTCCTCCTCGTCATCCTCCTCCTCGCTCTCACTCCCGCTCTGCTCCCATGGTGCTCCCCCCTTTCGCCTCTCGTGGGATTCATCCCCCCCGCTCTCACTAGAGCTCCCTGCTTCTTCCTCCTCATCCGAGTCTGCTGCACGCTTCTCTTTGCTCTTCTTGGACCCGCCCATCTTCTTTTCAAAAGTCACAACATGATGGGCTGGGAGAGGATCCTGACCGCAAGCTCCTGCAGCTGGCGCACCTCCTCTCCGTGGATGAGCCCCCATTCGGCCTCCGACATCCTTCCGCACTTGACCAGAGCGGAAGCCGCCCACCGCGCGTCCTTCCCCCCCAACTTCCCCTCCCCCTTGTGGAATGACTGCAGCTGCGCTTGCAGCATGGTGCGCGGTCCG